CGAACCCCTCCGCCCCCACCCCCGCCACAGACTGTCCACGCGCAGAAGAAATGTTATGTGCCCCAACGTGAAGGTGGTGGGTCATACATCAACTCCATATGGGCGCACGTAACAAAATTCATTCTGCACATGGAAATTAGAGGGAACACCAGCAGCAAGCCCTCTCTCTATTTCAATCTCAGCCTCTCAGGCTACATCTAGACTACCTGTGGCTTCCGAAAGAAGATATGCAAATTAGGCACGAATTTGCATATTATGTGCCCCAACGTGAAGGTGGTGGGTCATACATCAACTCCATATGGGCGCACGTAACAAAATTCATTCTGCACATGGAAATTAGAGGGAACACCAGCAGCAAGCCCTCTCTCTATTTCAATCTCAGCCTCTCAGGCTACATCTAGACTACCTGTGGCTTCCGAAAGAAGATATGCAAATTAGGCACGAATTTGCATATCTTCTTCTGATCCCTTTTTTAGAAAAGGATTTTTTCAAAAAAAAAAAGCAGTCTAGGTGGGGTTTTTCACAAAAAAAAACCCTTTTTCGAAAGAACCCTGTAAACCTCATTTTTTGAGGAATAAGATGTGAAAAACCTGGTCGAGACAGCTTTTTTTTTTTTTCCAAAAAAAAAAAAAATTCACGCCTCATTTTCATATTTTCTTCGGATGCCACAGGTAGTCTAGACGTAGCCTCAGCTTGCCCCTTGCCTGCTTTACCACTGGTGTTTGTTTGTTGGGGTGATTTAGAATGATAATGATTCGAACACCACACACCTCTCATGGCCATGGGTGTGCGCAAGATCAGTATACTTGATGTTCCCTAAGTTGTGACTTGTCACTAAATTCTTTTCCACACACACAGTGCATGGATACGGTGTCTCTCCTGATGTCGAAATAGGTTTGACCTCTGATTGAAACTCCTCCCACAGTCCTGGCATTTATGCAGTTTCTCTCCCATATGGATTCTGTGATGCGAAATAAGATCTGAGCTCTGACAAAAAGTTTTCCCACAGCAAAGGCACTGATAGGGTTTCTCTCTTGTATGGGTTGCCTGATGGGCAGTAAACAGGGCTTTATCATTACAATTTCTCCCTTGTTCAAAGTATTTGTAAGAGTTCTCTCTGGTGTGGGTTCTCTGAGGTGTATTAAATTCTGCTTTATCACTAAGTATTTCCTCACCGCCAAGGCATGTATGAAGTTTTTCTCTTATGTGGATTCTCTGAATTTTTTCCCCACAGTCAGGACATGTATAGGGTGTTTCTCCAGTATGGATTCGCTCACACACTGAAAGATTTGTAATTTTAAGGAATCTTTTCCTACACTCAAGGCATTTAAAGGGCTTCTCTCCCATGTGAGTTCTCTGATGTGCAAGAAGATGGAAGCTCTCACAAAAACTTTTTCCACACAACGCATTTATAGGGTTTCTTGCCTATGTGAGTCCTCTGATGTGAAAGAAAGTGGGAGTTGTCACAAAACCCTTTTCCACACTCAGGGCATTCATACGGTGTCTCTCCTATATGGGTCCAATGATGTCGAATTAGGTTTGACTTTCAACTGAAACTCATCTCACAGTCCTGGCATTTGTACGGTTTCTCTTCCATGTGGATTCTATGATGTGAAATAAGATCTGAACTCTTAGAAAAAGTTTTTGCACAGTGAATGCATGTATAGGGCTTCTCTCCAGTATGGGTTCTCTGGTGTGTAATAAGGTGTGCTTGGTCACAAAACTTTCGCCCACAATTAATGCACTTATAGGGTCTTTCTCTAGTTTGGGTTTTCCGATGTACTGTAAGATGTGATTTGTCACTAAACATTTCCCTGCAATCAAGGCATGTGTGAGGTATTTCTCCCAGGTGAATTTTCTGGTGTCTAGTCAGATGTAAACTCTGATTGAAGGTTTTCCCACACTCAGGGCATTTCTAGGTCATTTCTTTGGTATGGATTCACTGATGGAGAGTAAGATTTGAGCTTTGAAGGAATCTTTTCCCACACTCAAGACATTTATAAGGTTTTTCTCCTGTGTGGATCCTCTGATGTGCAAGAAATTTTGAGTTGTCACTAAAACATTTTCCATGGTCAAGGCATTTGTGGGGCTTCTCTCCCGTGTGAGTTCTCTGATGTGCAAGAAGGTGGGAGCTCTCAAAAAAACTTTCCCACACTCAAGGCATTTATAGGGTTTCACAGACAATCCACAGAAAATCCTCTGTGAATTTTCTGATGTCCCACTAGGCGTGACTTGTCACTAAACTGGTTTCCACACTCCATGCATTGAAATGGTTCCTTTCCTGTATGAACTTTCTGATGTCGAATTAGGCTTGACTTCCAACTGAAACTCATCCCATACTTCTGGCATTTATACAGTTTCTCTCCTATGTGGATTACGTGAGGTGAAATAAAATGCACTTTGCCAGTCACCTCTTTCTCCGAATCAATGCGTTTATAACAGTGGTCCCCAACACGGTGCCTGCGGGCGCCATGGCGCCCGTGGGGGCATTTGTGTGCGCCCGCCAAGTGCTCAGGGCTGGCCTGGCCCCAGGCACATGGCGCATGCGCGGTGCCGGAGCTGGCCCCGGGCGCATGGTGCACGGTGAGCGC